CTTATGATCATATTGCTTCAAAATGTAGAGCTCAAATGGGATAAAATGGGTACAAATGTGATAATATTACATATAATCAAGAAGATTCCACTAAATTTAAAACCGCCAAGGGTGGACGTGTAAAAAGATTTATAGTTGAGGGATCGTTGTAATTATCCAAATAGGAGGGGAGTTTCATAATTTAACCATACAACAGGAGTGGTTGTAATTTACCTTGTATCTAATATTTGTTTGATGTCTTTCAAAAAAAAATAAAAAAATATTTGTTTGATGTAATTTATAATTTAGTAGACTGTATAGTAAAAAAAAATAGTTGGAAAAGAGCGATATATTACCATGTACTTTAAGGTTGTTGGTCCAAAAAGAGACAACATATTTATGCAGCGATAGTATTATGTCACGCCACAATCCGGCTACAGTCTAAGCTATGGGTGCAAGTTGGAACGGAAATTCCAATTTCCGCCGGTTCCGATTAAAAAAATTCCGATTTTGGAACAATTTTTTTCATTCCGACTTTCGAAATTTCGATTTCTGAATTTTTTCGATTTTTTTAGATTGGAATTGGAATTATATAAAATAAATTTGGAATTTTCGATTTCCGATCCGATTTGATTTCCGAAATTAATTCCGAAAAATTCCATTTTTTTCCCAAAAAATACACCTGTAAGTTTTGTTTTAGGATTTTGACATAATGAATTGTTATATAGGTTTTATTAGATATTATGTTGTGTTTATTTTTATTTATTTTTTGAACTGAAATTTAGTAGTTATTAGTTTTATTTTATGGACGTGAATGTTCTTATTTTTCGAATATTATGAACATTTTAGAAAATTTCCGCTAAGTTTTGAATTTTTAAGCTTATGTGATTTCCGATTTTTTTCCGAAATTCCCAAATTTCCGGACCTTTTGGAATTGGAATGAATTTTTAGATTCCGAAAATTTTGGAATTGGAATTGATTTTGTAATTCCGAATTTTTTGGGAAATTTTCCGAAAAGGCTAATTCCGATCCGATCCATCCGACTTTCACCCCTTGTCCAAGCCCGTCTTTATTTTTTAGGGTAAATTACAGGCATTATATTTTAGGGTAAATTACGGATAGTGAGACTACATAACCTACAAACTTCAGTGGTGTTGGTAATTACATGTTACCCCTTAAAACTAAAGGTCCATTATAAATTCTAACGGTATGAATGAATTGTCTAAATTTCTTTTTATTAAACAAACAAAGTATTGTTAAATTAAGGATACCCTTCAGTTAATTGAAAAATATATATTTTCAACAAAAAATCTACCAATTATTTTCTCCACTTCACTAAAAGATCAATCAATAGACTAATTTATTGAGAATAACTTATGTATTTTTTTTTAAGTTTTCAAGTGATTTAGTGAAATATTTCCTTGCCGTACTGTGAATTTAGGAAATTTGGTTGAATGGTAGAAGAAAATAACAATTTGATTTGATATTTTGCATTATGAAGAAAAAAAGTACCATTGAAAAATGAAGTTTCATTGTGAATAATTTATTATGTTTTTATGTGAGCAATATGCTATTATTATATTTCGAAAGTGCAATATGTCAAAAGACTATGTTTCGAGGGTGAAAAGTGAGATTAAGCCAAAATATTGTCACACCTCAATCCAACAATTAGGTTAAAATGTATAGTTTTAAATCGACGAACACTATTTGAAAACTACTCTTCTGCTAAGAAACGTGAAGTTCCAAATGCTTTTAATGGAATACCCAATAAACTACTAGGGGAAAGAGAGTTCGATTTTTGCTTCCATTGGACCACTTACTTTGCATTAGGATCCCGATTCATGGATCTCCCGGTTCAAGAAATCAAGATAAGAAGAACCAAATACTTGTTCCAACTCTTTTTCAAATTTATTCCAAGTCAAAACAATAATTTCTTTAGGGGAATAGAAAAAAAAAACCCAATGTAATTTGTTTTAATTGCAAAAATGTTTGTATGTGTAATTGTGTTAATTTTCAATTGGTGAACAAACAAAATAGACGCATGCATAGGCGGAACATTATAGGGGGAAGGGGGCCATGGCCCCCCACCTTTTTTTCCTTCTTTATATAAAATTGTTGGAAATCTGCTGCAAAAATACTAACAAATTCGTCGGATAGGCATAGTGAGGAAGCGCGGACTAGGTCACTATCTTAAGACAAATTTTACGATCCCTGCTCAAAGAGGTGCAGTAAGGTCGCAATCGTGTCGCATTTGAAACTCGTATCTCCTCCTTCACCCTCATCCCGCATGTGCGAGGTGTCTTTTATTTCCTTTTTTGCTCAAACATTACTTATTTCCACATTAACATATATTATGATTTGAATTAGTTTGAAAAACGATGTGGGATAAGCATAATTTTATAAAATATTGCAACGAAATTCACATTAAAAAATAAATCATTAAAAAAACCTCTTAGATTTAATTTTTTTTTCTATCATAAATAATCCTGTAAAATATTTTTTTCACTATCTCAGTTCCCAAACTCTACTAAAACCCATGAAAAAAAAAACATTTTAACATAAAACAAGAAAGTATTTGTTATTCGTCAAATTACATTCTTCTGAATGTTATGAGTTTTCGATCTATCAAATTTCTATCCATTACTATTTTTTTTTTCTTTTAAACAAATTTACTGATTCAACTAATCTGTGTACATTACAAATCTCTTATTCTAACGAATTCTAATGATCATATTTTGTACATTACAAATCTCTTATTTTAATTTATTTATTTTCTTAATATCTCTCCTAATTAAAATATCCCTAAAATAATTTGGGGGCGCTGTCCTCCAACCCCTATAAATTTTAGTTTAGCTTCTATGACTCTCGATTCGTGACGCATGGAACCAAAAAATCCTGGTTCCGCCCCTGGATCCGTGGACAGGGAACTAAAGTAACAAAATGTATAACGTTACTTTGAGCAATTCGACACAACACGTGTACGACAAATATGATCAATAAGTGAACTAATTTGATTACAAATTAAAGTAAAATGAACGAACCACAATCAATAATAATTTGTGTAGGTGTTTTTTTGGAATGTGTTGATTGTTGAATCAGCCATCTGTCTAATCAAAGGAGAAGTACAGCTTTGTGTGATCAATCGATGGATGAGTGTAAGAATTCAGGTGTTAAATTGGTCCACACAAAACATGCATATGTTGTTTTCAGTTTGCAGAACCATCAACAAAGATACTGTTTTAGTCTTCTTCACGGGGTACAATTGTTAATTAGGTAAACAAATGTAGGCCAATCGCAATAAAAAAAATGGTGACAAATCATATTCAGGGGTGAAAAGTCGGATGAAACATGTCTGAATTAGCCTTTTCGGAAAAGAATCAAAAAAAATCGGAAGAACCAAATCCAATTCCAAAAAAAAATCGGAATCTAAAAATTCATTCCAGTTTCAAAAGGTTCAGAAGTTTCGGAATTTCGGAATTTTTTTTAGAAATCACATAAGTTTTAAAATTTCACAACTTAGCCGTTATTTTATGAAACTACCGGTTGTGAGTATTTACTTGTAGCTGAAAGTATGACTCATTGCACAATAAATAACAAATGTAAAAGAAAGTAGGCTTTTTTAGGTGACATATAGAATAGAAAAGTCTTTGACATGACTCATAAAGTATAAATATTACTAAATTCTTAGTTTATTTTGAATTATGTAAAATAAGAAATAATATATATTATTTATAGGTGTATTTCTCGGAAAAAAAATCAAAAACTTTCGGAATTAATTTTGAAAATTAAATTTGATGGGAAATCGAGAATTCCAATTTTTTATATATAAGTCCAATTTCAATCCATAAAAATTGGAAAAAACGGAAATCGGAATGAATAAAGTTGTTCCAAAATCGGAACTTTTCGAACCGGAATCGATGGAAATTGGATTTTCTGTTCCAACTTGCACCCCTAATAATATTCAACAATTGCTCATTATTCGTCGGGATAATTTCGATATGTTAAATGACAATCACATTTTCGATCAACTCCAGTTTAAGTATTTATGTTGGATAAACAAATTATTGCATAGCATTCTTGATTTCAATTTTTTTTCTTTTTTAGTTTTAATTATATCTTCTCTAGTTCCAAATGTATAATTTATAGAGGCCTATGATATCTCGGTTTACTAAAAAAATACGGGACGCATAATAAAAGATGTGTGTTTAATTTTGAAGGGGTAAAGTGCAAATCATTACATATATAGTTCACTCCATTTTAGGAATTTCTATCCTACACTCGGTTATTTACACCGTGTAATTGTTAATCGTAGATCTGCGCATAATCACACACACACATTTGTACTGTGTATGTATGCTTAATGAAAAGTTATTTAACCCATCCTCAGTTAATAATTACCCAGTGTAGCATAAAATTTCCCCTCTATTTTGAGCTTGTACTACTATTATTCTTAGATGTTAATATTCAATTTTGTCCATAATTAAAGAGTGACAAAACTCATAATATTTCACACAAAAAATGGACTTTATTATATGAGAATAAAATTTCATATTTTCAGATTATAACTTAAAAATATAAATTCAACTGTATGTCTATTCGCTGGAGAATTTTAATTAATAAATGTTATAAATTTAAGGTAACGTTTCTTTAAGTTTACTTCAAACATATTCCATAGAAAATAAAATATTCTTAATTATATATAATTTTAAATAATTATATGAGTATATGAATAAGG